GGGGGGGGGGGATGATACTATAGGTGCCCTTAGTTTTTGGACTTCAAGTTTCATACTCCGTGCTTGTCAAAAACTAAAAGGGAGGAAGAGAATTAGCAGGTCTAGAAGCAGAATTTACATGCACTGTACTATACATGTTTTGGTAACAAGCTACGGTTAATTAGGCACTAAATAAATCCCAATGCAGTACCATATGTTACAAAACCACCAAAAAGCCTTACCGATCAATTCAGTACGTATTCCCGATCCTATGAACTCGACGAGAGAATGGTCGCCGCTGTAAAAAGCGCTTCCTTACCAAAATGCGAAATTCCCGTTACCCTGCATTGAAGTCACATAGTGCTTTGTTATTGGGGTCTTTTTTTGTTCAAATGTGAAATCTGGGATACATAGCCAATGTTGCAGATATATGAGGCACGCAAGAACAATGGGGGAGTAGAAAAAATTAATCAAATGGAGAGACATTCTTACTTGTTTTCTCTTTTAATCCAAGTAAAAGCTGTAACAATTTTCTGGCATATTTCAGGAAGAGAACTGTTGCTTACATCTTCCTTTGAATCTGTGCTGCATTCTTCTGAGGCTTCCGTGTGCCGCATTGACATGGGCAAGTATGCCTATAATACAGGAAAATGAATCACAGCCATTTACATAGAGCTCGTTTGGCATTTCAAGAATGGGAATTACGCATGTATTTTGCCTGCTATGTTCAAGATTGACTTCATCACATTATTGCGTTTGAGTAGGTTGTAAGGTTGACAGACTTGACTCATATGTTGGACTTGGACTTTTTGAGAAATTTAAATTTTAAATCTAAAAATGATATATCAAAGGCTGGTTGTTAATATTCTACGAACAACTAACCTATTATTTGGGAGAAATGGAGATAAATGACCCTTTTACTCTCGTCTTTTAGATATTTTCATATACCAAACAGACTAATAGTGATATGCTTCATCTGTCCCAAAAAGAAACATGTTTGAAAACTTATGAAGGCATGGAGAGGAGTTCAACAACCCACATTTTGAGTTCAGTCCACATGTCCACCAAAAATTGTAAAATAAATATATCGCAATAAATACAACTAGGACCTTCACTGTTGAAGCATAGAGAAAAAGCGTGTCCTAGATACTGAAACAGAAAAGGGCGAATAAATTACAATTTTACCTGAAAAGCATGTCCTAGAAGAAACATTGCAGCCTCTCCGCTGATTTTCTTCATGATACTTCTTGTGCTGTTTGCATTTGAGAAACACTTCAAAATGCTCTCAAATGTTGCAGAATTTCCTAGACCGTTTGACTTTTTATTGCGAGCAGAAGTCTGCATAATAAGATATACAAATTTGAAACAGAAGAAAACATTAGAGGAGCTATGCGGGTTGCAAATCGACCAAGTGTTTTCCTTGTTGGGAGGATCCACTATAACTACAAGAGGGATTGACTTTCTTTCGGGGCACTATAAAGCATATGGTAATTCCTTCGCACAAAGGGAGCTCCTAGGGGAGACTTAGAATTGACAGGTAAAACTTAAAAGAGAATGAATGCTTTTATATGAAAGAAAAAAACCCACATTTAAAAATCCAAAGCGTTTGACATCATGTTATCTGGGGCATATCTCGTCGATTAGCTTTTTAGTTAAAATTACTGTTTTAGTGTTGAGGGTTATCTGGTTATGTGAGAATTTTCTATAACCTATAATGCAAGGAATGTGAAACTCTAACATTTATGGGTGTAAAAGGTAGTTTAAATGGCGGAGACTAATTGCGTCAAAAATTCTAAAGGGAAAAAAGATTGCTTGGCTGATTTGGAAGGGCAGTATTCAAACAAAATGCAGATTGAGTAAGTTCTTGCAAATTAATACTACATGTAGCTTTGGGGGGGGGGGGGGGGGG